CAACTTTTTGGAAACGTCAGCGTCTCTGTTGTCATGTAAACTTGCAATATGCAGTTCCTCTGAAAACAGAGACTTTTTGCACATGTGCATTACGGTTCCAGTCACTAGGCAAGCCGACCGTCACAACAACAATGCCGAGCTCTGTTTGTGCTGCTCACCCTGTTGATTTGAAGTGAAGTGTAGATCTGTTACTGTAGCAACTCCACCTTGTCGTCCATCCAGACAAAGTTATCTGTGCATGCTTTCGCCATCGTGTCTTCTTTGTTTTAGTTTGTAATCACCGTGTTGTAGAGGAAGGCGCTTCAGTGCAGGCGCATGGCGTCATGGCGTCATGCCGTGGTGTTGCTTTGCAAATTTACACTGCCACCCATTGGCCTGGTGTGCATACTACAGCGTTTCTAGTAGATTTTGCGGCTCCGTGTGAACGGGGATTGTTTCAATAACGTTGTCATATAAACGCAGAAGTTTTTTAGATACAGTTAAGTATGGGCCTGACACACCTACTGTTAGGATGAGAAGGCCTTTATCAAACCATGAATGAAAAATTCTGACAGAAGGGGCTGGTGGATGAGTAAGCCACAGGACTATCACCTACGAGACTGGGCTTCGAGTCCAATTTGAAACCAATATTTATGCCCAATTATGATATTTATCTAAATCTAACCATGCTGTTTGGCACCTAAACCTAAGGAAAGTGAAAGCTAACGAAGTGGTAATAACTGCTGAGCTGATAATAGTTTTCTAAACCTATACCAATAGGTGTATCAGGCTCCTACTGAGCTATATCTATGAGGTTTATAAACACAGATAATGGCCATTTAAAGGTCCAGTGTGTAGGATTTAGGGACATCTATTGGCAGAAATGGTATTATATATTCATAGCTATGTTTTCAGTAATTCATAATCACCTGAAAATAATAATCTTTGTGTTTTCGTTACCTTAAAATGAGCCACTTATATCTACATACGGAGTGGGTTCTCGCCCAGAGTGTCAACCATGATGTTCTACAATGAACTGACAAATCAAACACTGGCTCTACATAGGACCATTCGAGTTTTCCTGTTGTCACATTGGCTAATGTAGCTCTCACACACGCTTGGCACACGGGAAGTTTCAGTTCTGCAACCTCACTGCATGGTGCCACTAAATCCTACACACTAGACCACTGGTTCCCAACTGGTCTGGCTACGGGGTCCAGATTTCTCCTTAGTCATTAGTTCAAGATCCACATAATTAAATACATTTAGTACTATACTTGTATTTGGCCACGTCATTGAGCTAGTTTGCTGTAGTTGTCTGTTAGCCACTCACTCTACAGCAGAAAACAGCACCTCAGAATAAAAGCTCTGTGCCAGAAATTCTCTGTACTTAAAAATAAAGTGTGTTTTTTACAAACTTGACACGTTTGCAAGTCCAACTAGGTCTATTCATAATGGACCAGTTGGACTTTTGGACCGTAACCCGCCAGTTGGGAACCAATGTACTAGACCTTTAATGGGCTGATAACATCCCCATCAGGTGACAAAGGAGGGGTAGATAAAAAGAAGCAAATAAGAAAAGGAAAATTACTTTTAACTATATCAGGAAGATGTCCACATTTAGTATGCAGTGTGAAACATCTAAATGTTCCATTCATCACGACAAGAAACATCCAAGCTCTTAACACCTCATTTTATTGTCCCAACATTCAAAAGTACAAATAATTCAAACACAACAGTTTTATGAAAAAGAAAAAACAAACATTTACAGCAAGATTTTTATTTTGTTTCCAGTTTCAGAAATGACCTAAACTAGCAAGGATAACATGAAGTCATTCATCGCAGTAATTGGATTAATAATAAGAATAAGAATACTAAGAATAATAGCAATAATAATCATAATAATCATCATTGATAATTGTTAAGTAATAACATAAGCAGGAGAGAGTAGAGAGAGCCGCGGTCATGGGGCCCTGTGAACATTTTTTCGTCTTTTTTGTCTTTAAAGATTTCGTTTATAGATTTTTCAGATAGTAAACAAACACGTCTCAGGAGGAAAATGAAAACTGACAAGAAGAGCCTAGTTCCTCTGTTCACCTTCCCTCCTCCACTACTGGCTGCGTTGTTCCTACTGGCAGGCTGCCACTATAAGGCGCTACAGGGGATGGTGTGAGCCATAGGGGTTGGGCATAGAGCGAGGTGACGCAGCCCCATGTTTCAAACACCCTGACATGCACACACTTTCACACACACAAACGCACACACACATTCTGAGCAACCGCACGTGCTATCTCTGTCACACGCGCGCGCACATGCACTCAGGGAGACACACACATACACGTCTGTATATATGTGCACTAAAGAGACCCAGATGCACACTCACACACGTAATCCACAAACACTTAACATATGTATATACTGTACATACGCACGTTTGGATGTACTCCACGCTAACAAACATATGAGGACAAACGCACAACACGCACACAATTACAGAAAGGAACATGCATACGAACATGCACACACGCGCGCGCACACACGTGCACACAGGGTCTAGGCGGAACACAGGCACGCATCGTAAGAGTTCAAAAGTCATACAGTGTAGGAAATTAGTTCACACATCAGAACAACATTCTACTGGGGTCGTTGCATAATTCAAGCTCCCGACGGCGGCGGGGAGCATGAAGGGGTCTGGTTGGTTGGTGTGTGGGTTGGTTGGTTTGTTGCCGTTATGACGTTAGAAAACTATGTGATTGGATGGCGCAGTTGATGATGACTGGATATAAATGACGATATAGGATGACCCGGCCTGTCAGATGACTGAGGTGTGAGAGAGAGGGATGGAGTTATGCGAGCATGCGTCTGAGTGTTTGAAATGCTCTCCACACACCTCCTTCATGTTTTCAAGTCTTAACAACAAACAAAAAAATCCAATTCCGTATATTTATACTTCTGGAACCATTCCCTTACCTTTCACCTTTCAAAATATATAATATATATCACATTAGAGTATATAAAATATAGAATCGGTACAATCCCTTTTCATGCCTCCAGAGTACTTCTTAAGTATAGCAACAACTGCTGTAAATAACAGTTGGTGTGCAATGGTAACAATTTCTCATTTTTAAAGATTTGTTGGTATGTCATTTGAAAACATGATGAACCTTTTTAAAAATAAGTCTTGACTCTTAAGTGATTTTGACCGATTTAGTCCAGTGCAATGAATGACCCTCAAACAACAATGGGCATTTGCTCCTTTTAAAATGTATCTGCCCAAGCCTCCAAGAGCTGAATGTTATATAAAATGTCTCACTGAAAACTGAAAACTATGCTTTCAGACCCACATTTTTGCATAAGGTTTCATCACAAAGCGGTAGTAAGTGGAGGGAGGGTGTGGACGGAGTGGCTTTTTAGAACTACACAAACTTATCACAGGTTATATTGAACCAGAACGACTGTTTATAACATTCTATTAAGACTAAACTTTATTGAAAAAGATCTAAAGATTTCATTTTAACAAGACAAGAAAAAAGCAATAGCAAATTTAACTATTAACTAGGTTATGCATAGCGAGTAACTGTTTCTAGTAATAAGGGAAGAGCGTCCCCCAACCCTCCAGACATTTTTTTCAGTTTTCTTGACTTTTAGATTTTTTTATATTGTAATTTTGATATATTGGTACAAAGCACAAACGTACTAAAAGTTCTCTCAGTGCAGTGGACTACTGGAAGAGCCTCTCCACTAGTCGCTTTGTTCCCTTTTGCTCAGAAACGCCCCCTCCCTGTACCAGAATCACGCAAATACACAGACAATGAAACAAATAAATACATAAATACACAGATAAATTAATCAATTAATAAATATATAATAAATACAAATAAATAGAAAAATAAATAGTTTAAAAAATAGAGAAGTAAATCAACTGATAAACAAATACAGTTATATTCTAAGCTTTTGTTCGGTTTCTTTTGCCGCGGTAGCTAACTGAAAGTTAATCCAAATCTTTTTTTTTTTCTCCACAAGCAACATGACAACAATTGAACAGTTTCCTCACAAGTTTTTCTAAGTAACTGAACCACCACTTCATAATAAGTTGTCATATGAAAAAGACAAGCTCAAACAAAAGAACAGTGACAACTCATATAGTACAGTAGATATTGTAAAACAAATGTAGACTATATATGTATATATATATCATCTATTTGTACACAGCAAATAAAGACACAGTTGTCATAGATCCTTTATAAGGAAACAAATATCTAGACTAACGGAACTAGCTAATCATCATTTAGTTTTGACAAACGTTTCACGCTCAGCAAGTAACCTAAAAGTCAGCAAGCCAAACAAAAAAGATAAAAAATAAAGATTTGTTCAGTGATTCTTACAAGGCCCAAATTTCATTTATCTGGTTGTTCAGCAAAGAAATAGTCTCACCAGATTTTTTGGGCCAACAATAAACAAATATTAAACAAAGAACAGCAGCTCAATTCAATGCCAACATCGAAGTATTTTTTTTCTTTAAACAACACATAGAACAACAAACTTGGATATTTAAGATATGTGAATAATGTAGTATAGCACCTACTGTTGATCGCTAAAAGGAAGTTCTTTTCAAATGTAAGTTCACAAACGCAGAGCGAAGAAAATGATATAGATAATGTATAGTATGCTCTCTAAATGGATAGATGTGTATATATCTATTTACTGATATCCCATATTGACTGATGACAAAAACAGGAAAACAAGTGGACAAAGGGTCTTCTTGCTTTGGGCTCTGGACTATAAGGATGGTTAGGCCTTGGAAAGACCCCTCTCCCTTCCCTTTTGGGTATCGCTGTTGAATAATTACGCACTAGTACATATGTGAAAAATTACCAAAATCACCTGCCTCAGTTTGCATCCCTTCCATCTACAAAACCTGCCAACTTGGAGTCCCCAAAAAACAAACAACCTTTGATCCTATAAAGTACCACGGCAGAACGACAAGACAAGGTGGTGCCCCCTCCCTCCCGCCCCGGCCCCCCCTAGTTAGCCAGTCAAAATATTTTTCTCTTTTTTCAAATCCAGATTCTTGTAAAAATTCTTCAATAATTATTATTTTAATTATCATTTATAAAAATAGATCTTCTTTCTCTTTATTTTTATCTTTTTCTAAACGCATTTTTTTCAAGCAAAGAGATCTTCTCTTTGGCAACAGTGTTATTTTTTTTTTTTCTTAAATTACTGAACGTGTCATCAGGAAAGCTAACCCATCCCCTCCCTCGCCCCATCTCCCTGAACCCCTGTGAGGAAAGACATTATGTTTTGTTTGCGATACAAAACAAAAACAATGTTAGAAATTCTTTTTTTTTTTTTGTCTACATCAGAGTTACTGGGACTGTGGAATCCCATCTATAATCGATAAGGGGAAGTTTTTGATACACACTAAAAATGAATGAATGGTTCACCAATTTAAAAAAGAGCCCCCTCCCTTTCACCGACAGGGAGGTATATATAATACTAACGACAGTGGATCCGGATTTACAAAAGAAAAACAAATCCTGAATCAAGACAGAGAAAAGGTTTCAATCTAAAAAGGACATTCTCTTCTCTGAAATAAGGGGATACAGGGATTTGCTACTGTTTACACAGAAGAGAAAAATCATTTTAACAACCACAACAAACAGAAAGAATATACAACAAAGAGAAGCCTGCATTATCACAGGAGCTTCCAAAACTCATGAACATTTTCATCATTTCATTTTTGTAATACTTAGGCAACATTGGCTTATAGGTCCAAAGTTATAATATAAGCCATTTCTAGTTCAATTTGTTTGATGGTTTGTCGGTTGCTTTGTGTTCCGGTTGGAGTTTGCTGTGTCGGATGGCTGTAGTAGGGTGGTAGTGGTAGTGACTGAAGGGGCTAAGGGACGGGTGGAGGTGGGGGGAAAGGTTGGGGGCAATTTGGGAGCAGACAAAGTCGCGGGGCAACTGCTTCTACCTGTCAAAGTTCAGGACTTGTGTGTCTTGTTAGTCTTGAAGGAGACTTGCAAGACGCGGTCGCCCAACCTGTAGCCGTTGAGACTGGCGATGGCCATGGCCGCCTCGTCGTAATTCGTCATGGTGACGAAGCCGAAGCCTTTGCACTTGTTGGTGTTGAAGTCACGGATCACCTTGACATTGTTGACCGCACCGAAGGGCCCAAACAGCTGCCAGAGCACGCTCTCATCCGAATCTGGGGACAGGTTGTACACGAAGATGCACCACCCGGTGCCCGTGTGCCCGGGGATGTTCATGCCGACCAGGCTGGTCATGCTGTCAATGGTGATGGGGGAGAACCTGAGAGGAGAAGGAGAGCAGAAGGAAAGGGAAAGAGAGAAGAGCAAGTTTTAATTGAGCAGGTTGAGGCATACAGTGGAACTCAATGTCTGCATCTACTGAACATGAAATGGCCGTAAACCGGTGGAAAAGCTGTCTCCATCTTGTTTTTTGAGGGCCAGATTTGAAAACAGAATCCTTCCATAACTAAAAGCTTGCCATGACGCTCACCTGAATGAGTCACTACTGTCGAAAACCATATTATATTACGCTAAAACTGCATCTGTTAAAGGTTTACAGTCAACTGAACGAACCAAAAAACTGATCTCCAAGCCAAATACATAACGTCAGATAAATTAGGACGCATATGCCTGGATGTTTATTATACGTGCATGTTTAACTGCATGAGTTTGTATGTGTGTCTACATAGTTAATACTAAATGAGCTCCTCAATTCTGAGAGGCCTCCTGTCAGGAATGACGACAGCGCTGCATGCTGAGCTGTATCTCTGCTGAAGGAGACGCAGACGAAGGTTCTCGCTTTGTGTCCTTGAGTGGCTCCTTTAGGAGCTAAATTGCAGGAAGTTGTTGAATTAAACCGTTGCTAGAAATCCATCAAAGATCATGCACCAGCCTGCTAAATCTGTTCTCATTCGCCTCATAATCTTCTCCTTTTTTTCTTGTGATGCAAGAGATTTGAATCCTCAGTTGACTTCACTTAATTGCCTTTCCGCTCAAAGGAAAGGGAAAGGAGGAAAAAAAATTCCCCACTTTTAAATAAAAGGTAAATGAGATAAAAAGGTTCATTTCTTATGCCACCTCTCTTCAAGAAACGACTATAGGCATTATTGGGTGTGCTTTAATTGAGATTTCCGCTTTGCTGCAGCTGTCTCAGAGAAGGCTGCTTTCTTAAGGAAAGGGAGGGAGGGAAGAGGGAGCAAACTAAATGGAAAATGGAAGCACTTTACAGCCCAGTGGCATTAAGGTACAAAGTGTATTCCTCCCACTCCTCCCGCAGTCTGCAGGGTGTTCTGTTCTGTTCTATTCCAGAGCTCGTGGCACTGATCGATAGCACTGCTTGCTGCTCAGGGCCCCCACCCCTCTCTCTCTCCAGCGACTATATATGGCCAGCAATCACTACGACCTTCCTGCATGACTTTGGTCATGCAGAGTTTGCTCCTGGCCATTGTGGTTGCTGCGGACGCTAATACAAGCACCCAGGGTGGTTAGCTTATTGACGGTAAGGGCTTTCTGCACTTACTAAACAGCTAATAATACTAATTATATTAGTATATATCCTTCTTTATGATTAAGACAAAATGAAATAGATTATAGTATCATAAATCTATATGACTGACATACAAGGGGATTTATATATTCACCACAGGAGTACTGCATCAGCAATCTGCATTGTAAAAGGTTCCAAATCCTTTGTCTCACACATCTCTACATGGCCTCAATGTCTTGTTAATATTTTCTCCAGCATCAAGCAGGTGGAATCTTTACTGGCTTCATCACATCGAGGCCTTGTCTGACATGCTCAGCTGCGTTCAGGCCTCTCCTGCTGGGCTCGAAAAAACTTGGTGGTGATTTATATGCAAAAGCTGGAGTATGTGAGGAGGTTTGTGAGAGTGTGACGGCTTGGAGGCTAGCTAACACTGCCACTGCAAGGATGTGGAGATGAGTGTGCCTGCATGTACATGTGTGTCTGTGTGTGCATGTGTGTAAACGTGCATGCGAGCGTACCCAACAGAGCGGGACCAAACACTAACCAATGTTACAGACGAGACCAGGGGTTGCATAGCAACAGTGTAGCTGACCAGATATCTATTCTGTCCTTTCTAAAGCCAACCATCTCCAGCTCTTAACACCTTTCTTCTCTTTCCTTTCAAATAATAACCTCAGATCACTGGAAAGCACTTCTGACTGGATGGCGTGCTTTGCAATCACGGCGGCTGAATCGGACACTATTTTCACTTTCAGAAAATTATGTAAAGACTCAGAGTGAGGCCACAGAGCTTACTGGGAATGGACGACACTAAGGGTTAAACCTGGGAATACCACACTGCCTCGCTATCGGTCTGTAACTAGATTCTGAATTCCTGCATTTGGCAAAATTACAGCTTTTCAGGGGAACTTGCTAAGGGAACATTTCTTGCGTGCTACAGTGAAACTTCATCTCTGTTTGAGTTGCTAAGCTGACTTCAGATGGTCCCCTGTGCTTGCAACATGCAAGATGCCACCGTCAGCACATGAAACATCTATCACCACAGTGGCTGCTGCTCTGGGTTATGTAAGACCCATGGTAGCAAGAAAAGCAAAATGAAACATGGAGGCGAAAAGGAAGGAATTCGAGCAGAGCAGTGCCGAGCAAAGCTGGAGCTGTCTGCAGTGAAACAGCATTTCCTGTTTCCAGCAGGGATCCAGGTTCATCCAGCCTCATCCCGTGTCCTCGCTGAACACTACCTCATCTCAGCTAGTGCTGCCAAGAAATTAGGGCAATATATAATTTTGTCATGGCTTCCACTGCACAGATGTACATTTACATAAAGGATTCTGTATTTAGTTAAAAGTAGGTTTTATTCTGATGATGATGTGGGGAAATATCAATATGAAGGAAGTGACTGATTCAAATTTTGCTCCTAAAGAGTTGTTCCCAAGCTATAGCTGTAGAGTGACAAGGCAGGAGAACCTGAATCCGGTAGAAAAAAAACACACCTAGAAATTAGGAGTTTTACACCAGAGAACAAAATCCATTCAGTACACAGAAACAACCCAAAACAATCCAAACAACACCAGCACTTGTCATAATCAAAACAAAGCAAATTCATCACCACTGAAAACAAAGACTGATTGTTTTCTGATTTTTTTTTTTTTTTTTTTTTACACCTTAGGTGGTTGGTAGGGTTTGAAAACCAACTCAAGCTTACGTGGGAAAAAAACAAACAAACAAATCAAAGAACCAAAAATGCAGTTGACCTTGAACAAATTGTCAAACCCAAAGTGACTGCAAAAATACAAGGAAACATAAACTAAAGGAAAAAAGGAACTGAAAAAAGGATATTGAAAAATCATTGAGTCAACATGGACATCTGGCATTGGGTGAAGTTTTTAATTACCTCTTTACGCCATAGGCCATATTAAGCAAATTGTCCAGCCTGTAAAGAGAAGGAGGGTTCTGGGGTTAATGGTGGGCAGATGGTCGACTCACTCAATGGAACTAATGTTAAGTCCCTGTAGGAACTGCATGGTCCTCCTCACTCAAGAACAAACAAACCCATCTATAGTTGGCCCATTACACTGAGGAGCCCCACCAGAAAATGCTATCATCGGTTAATGAAGCTACAGTACCATCAGTATGGTCGGCACTTGCTCGGTTGGCCACTGCGCCACTTCATGGGCTTCAGCACAGCCCTGCGCTAGCTAATGCCAGAGCAGAGTCTTACCGGCACATTACTGTAGGTGTGACTCTTATTGTTGTACAACACTACAGTAGTGGACTGGTCACAGTTCAGTATTACAGTCACATACAGAGCACTAGTGGCAGCAGGGCGTGAGCATAGCATGGCACACGGCTAGGATGCTAGGCTAGCCATAGTGCTACGCAATGGCAAATCAATGGCTTGTTTTACGTGCAGGAAATTGCATGTGGGTATCCATACAATTTATGCCGCCACATTGATGGTTTTATTAGAAGATGGAAGTTTATAAAATTTTCTTTTCACAAACTATGGTGCTTAATTTGTGTTAACTCAATTGAGAGAACACCTGAGATGACAGGAAATGATCCAGAGTTCTGTCAGTGTAATGGTTTGGCATTTGAATGATGGTGAGTGAGAGAGGTGATGATGATCAGTATGCTTTCTATGAGGTGGACCAACAGCAACACAACTGAACATTAAACTAGCCATGAAATTGGGAATGTTTGTCTCTGTGGTCGAGGTCAACCTGTTAAGTGCTAACAGGTCAGGTGGAATAGCGGAGTGTTAGTCACAGGGTGTCTGAAAAGGTTAGTGTTTGGGAAATGTTCTGGTTTCATAATAATTTCAGCCCCGTAAGCGACAGTCGCTGAAGTCAGCCAGGGTTTAGAATGTAAGCGTGTGTGTGTGTGTGTGTGTGTGTGTGTGTGTGTGTGTGGTTTGAGAACCCAGTGGGCTGTGTGTATGTGTCTGTTTGTGAGCAGGACTTCAGAAACCTGTGGGCTGTATGAAATGTTGGCCCTCTTGGATGGATGCAGTCTGCTTGGTGACTCAATGACCTTCATTCCTCACTTGGGTCCGGCCTGTCTCATGTCTTATTAACTCCTCTGGCCTAATGGACAGGGGCCACGGCTTATTGAGCAACAGCTGGCCAGTGACGCCTCGTTCCTCTTGACAACACTACAAACTCTCTGACTTTGACTCGACTAGCTGGGTTGTTTCTCCTTGTCTCTTTCAGTCAACAGGCATTTGCTATCTTGCACCACAACTGCTGCACGGCATTAAAATCATGTTGAAAATTTGATGGCTTTCACCACGATATAATCCAGGTAACTACAGTTACACCATTTAAAAGCTGCATTATTATTATCTCACTTGATGTATACACAACTTCATTATTATTTGATTGCAATTAAGAAAGCAGTTAGGTTTTGAAGGCTTTTATTAAATAACTTGTGTAATAATAATCACAATACTATTTACATTGATCATTTTAAATTGAATTTACATTGCATGTTAGAGATAACAGATCAGTAGTCTTCTAATCGGGAACAATTAAACACCAGGTTGCCGAGTAATTGTAGTTAAGCACCTTATAAATTAGAAATCCTGCAGAACTCTGAGTACTGAGGATCAGGGCTGAAGAGCAATGTAATAACCTGTGTTTTAAAATATTACTTTATATTGGCTCACAAAGAGCTCACATTGATGCTTGTAAAACTTAAACGTTTAAATTGACTAAATAAAATCATATCACGATAAGTATTTGCAATGGATTTCCCACGTTAACGTCAGCTGAGTTAATTTACATAATATTTTTACATTTAACATGAACCTTTTGAGTACATTGTAGGCCTGCTTATTATCTGAGTTCAAAGTACACTGCACTGCACTTTTCTTTGTTAAGGCCCTGACACACCAAGCCAATGGTTGGCCATCAGTTAATGTCAGGCCATTGGTGAGAGTCTGTCACCCTAGTTTTTGTGGTGTGTTCCACACCGTTGGCAGTAATGGACCCCTGTGGCCTGTTTTTTGGTTGCCTTTCGGTTTCGAAGCCCGTTGGTGAATGATATGACCTTGATTGGCAGTTCAACTCGGTGCTTGAGAAGAGAAATGGAAGTGAGGCAAGTAAACAAACAGCTAAAGTCAAGAGGGTGCGAGATATAAACAAACTTGTTATATGAGGTAGCAATATTTTTTTTTATTCATTGTTTGTTTGTTTGCTAGGGCATGGTAAATACTATTTATGCTTTCAACATCAGGCTGTGTTGTTAATGTGCCAACTGGCTAACTAGCATCCTGAATCCATCCTGTCATGAGGCATCGCTACAGTCGGCCCTTGTCACCACTAGTTCTTTGCTTCCAAGCACTGTCGCAAAGGCACCTGGATCTGGAGCCTTGCAACTGGGCTATGTTGCTTTTGGCACTTAGAGCTCCAACAGTTACTTCGGTTGTTCCATGTCCACCCTTTCCACTACTGGAGATAGTATATGCAAAGAACTTAGACTGATATTGTTGGTAGCTGGGGATAGCTACCGATAGTGAAAACAAAAGCACTATCCTCGTCTTGTTTTGGTTGCACATTGGTAACAAACTTTCTTTGTGTCGTAAACTGAGCCTTCATTTTTCCAGGAAATCATACCCGGTGGTAGACCGCACGTAGTGAAAATGAGGCTTATAGGGACCCAATCTAAACGTTAATGGTGTCATTATTCTATAGCCATTACATTGAGCAATCAACACTTTAACATTACCAAATACTACGAGAGCAGCCCTAAAACAAAGGAAAAAAAATGGAGAAGGATATACGGAATCATTAAAGCAGTAATTAGCCCATTACGTGGGAAGGGAACAAGCAGGCTGCTTTGTGGGTAAATGAGTCAATTGGAGAGGATGCTCAGAGGAGAGGCGCTCCAGGCCCGGGAGCACGAAGACATCTGCTGGCCGCCGGGCCGTTGGGCCACAACAAAACAACCTGCTGCTATCTCTTTCTCTCTCGCTCTCCCTCTCTTTCTCCCTCTCGAACATGTACGAACGCACATTGATGCACGCTCACCACGCAAACACTCTGCCAGCTTTTCACACTGCCTCTCCAAGCTCGATATAAACAATAGGGCTTTTGTGCTTTCTCTCAATGCATGTTAATGGAGGAATGGGTGTTTTTGTCTTCTCTTTTTTGAAACAAAAATCTGTTCAATTAAAATTGGCTCCTGCCCTGGATATAATAAGGCTAATTCGCTAATTAGTACCATTAGTTAACGACAGAGGATCGGAAACGAGCCGGGATCTAGGGCTCAGTGTATTGTGCTTGAATCGGTTATGTTTGCTGTCTTGGAGAGAGACCATACAAGCACGTTATACATTAACAGGCCCACGTGATTTAGTCACACAGGATAGATGCAATTATGAGTTTTTTTTTTTTTTAACTTGGGTCTTACCTATAAGAAGCAGCACAAACTTGTTAAGTATGTAAAACAAGCAGGAGTATCATTTTACAGTCTGTGATGGATTTTATTTCCTAATTTACATTTCATTTAGTTTCAGGCATACATCAGTAGATCATTTTTGCTTCATTATTTTAAATGTATTATTATTTTTTGCCTTTGAAACATAATGATATATCTAACTTTAGATTTAATTTTCTCTCTTCAAGGAATAAACAGAACAAACAACAGCTCAGGTTTGACTGAATACTGTGTTCTATTTGGAAGAAAAACGTCGCTTTGCACTGTCCTAAAAAGATTTGGTTAAAGAAAAAAAAGGGAAACTGTGCACATCGAGCACATTTCTAACTTCTAAAGTGTTGAGGTTTTAGTGGAGGGGCTCGGGAGCAGAGAGCAGGAGCACAGAGACACAGTGAGGAAGTGTCCTGTGGTTGTGAGTTGTGATGAGAAGCGACAGCTCTCCTGTGGAGCCTGTAAATTGGCTTGGCGTATCACAGACACACAGCCACGCTACATCGCTCAGGTGTCACACCAGGGAAGCCGCTCCAGAAGAAAAATACCTTCCAAGCTCTGACTTTGATAGAGAGTAAACAGCACGACCAGCTTAGTGTTATTGAAAGAGAGAGGAAATTGTATAAGCACATATTCTCTCTCCAATTCTGAAACCTTCTGACTGGATCGGATGATAGAGCGTAATATCATACCATCACCTGTTTGTCTTGTTTTGTGTGTTGTTGAGGTGAAAGGTAATGTGACCTCAAGGAGAAAGCCCATCTGTAGGTTGTAGGTGTCATGTGTAATTTAAAAAAAAGGCTTGTTTATGTCGTTAGTGAGTGACAGGAAATGACCAGGTAGGATGCCATATATACAGTATGTCAGCCAGATACTGTATATGATGTTAAGTGATAGCTTGTAGAGATTACAGACCTGGGCAAAACACTTTTTTAGCAATGAAAACAGCTTGAGGTAATTATATGCACTCAATTTAATTAAGTTAAAAAGGTTAAAACCCAAATCCTTAAATTAATTTTGTCATCATTTGTTTTAATTTGCCCTTTGTGCATCGGATTTAGTCTCTCCTATGTAACTTCAAATGCTAATGCAGGGTCTTGTGGCATATTTAATGCAGTAGACTATGTATATTTATATTGGCAATGTGTTTCAATTGATTCAAACTACAAAAAATGCTCTAAAACAACAAGGTTCATTGTATCACTGTGACCGTGTCATGCAAAATTGGAGCTTTACAGTCAGACAGACAATTACTCTTTTGTTTAATAAACATTTACAACATTTTTTCTACAGCTACATGATTTTGCCCAGGCCTCAGAGGGAATATTCTGGGAAGTGTTGACACGATGGCAGCATGATGAAATGAGGGGAAATACGTAGTTGTGAACGACAGAACCCCACAGTCTCTTATGAACAGTTCCTCTCTGATCTGGGTGGACCCACACAGAGCGCTCACAGGGCCTGATTTATTGACACCTGCACCAGGTGCACAGCGCACACCTGTTGTTCAAAAGGGGGACGTGTTTTCTGAAATAAATGTTCACAGGAGAAAAAGTTGCATCACTGTTGATACACACATGTCGCTATGACTCATGCCCTCTATGTGTGGGTGTTAACATCCCCTGTTCGAACACTGTAAATTGCATTTGGTGCAAATGTTTTCCAAATCAGGCCTGTTGTTTAGAACAGACGTGTTTCCTTGATTAAACTCATTTATTGTTGCATCAACCAAGAAAAATCGGTATTGAGTTTTAAACTGATGACATTAAATATCCACATATGAAATAGCAATCCTGTTTGTCATTTAATGACACCAAATACACTGATGGTGCAGAACTTAAATTGTTCAGATGTTACTCACACCATCAGTCATACCACAGTAGATGACATGCTTGCATCAGATCATCAGTTCAGTTCATAATATTATACATAACCTATGACTGTTTGTAAAGTTTGCTGATGAATACACACATATAACTTGCTTTCCATTATTCCTCCTGTCATTAGTCTTGAACACTTGGCCCTGGAGATTCCCAACCTTTTGGGCAGATGGTCCTACGGACCCCATTTTTTTATCTTGTGCCTAAACCACTTTGTGTTTCATTCTGTTTCATCATTACAGCTTTGGAATAGAGCTGGGAAGTAGGAGGATCTGCTGGTGTGTGCATGTTATGGACATTAGTTTTAAGTATTTTAACTGTGTTTCTGAGAAAACACGTTTTGTCACTTAAATATGACAATGTCCATGAGCTTCAGTCGCTGCTGATATGGAGAAGAGGCCAATCAGGGGCATGAATCAGAGTCGTGGCGAGTTCAAACGCTTCCTTGTTGCAGTTTTGAATGAGACGGCACCGTGGGCGCCAAATGGTTACAACTGTTCCAAAATTTACCAAGAGTTCTCTCAACAGTGTCATCTTAAGCTATGCTTTGCCATTGTTCTGTCCAGCTCTGTAAACATTTCTTACCAAAATGCATTTTGGAAACCAGGGGTGCCCTTGATAAGTCCCTCCAGGATGCTGTGATTGCAACAGTTAACACAAATACAGCCAATCCCTGTGCATTCTGCGTGACCTTTCAATTTTGTCCAATCACTGCAATTTTACCGCAAATTTGATTATTTGAAAGGAGTAAAATTTCATTGCACTGCAGAGCTGCATATAGTGCATTAACTTGCTCAGCCCCTACTTGCCCCTCTTGTCTCAGGGGTGTGAGTTACACACACAGTGACAGTGCTAAATGTTACCCAACGGTTTAACGACAGAGTCGAGCCATTTTGGTGTCAGTGTGAGACTGTTGGGACTATATAACAGCTCAGTGTTGGATATTAGCCGCTGCTGCTGAGTTCGCTCAAGCAAACTGGGCAGGAAGAGTAAGAGGAGAGCTACACGGCAGCAACAGCTGATCGTTGGCCACCCCCCCACCATCACAACTAGTTTCTAATTTTATGGAAAACACTGAATGCTTATAATAATAGGCTCCTAAAACAAGACAGCATTGCAAATATTTGTACTTTTCACTTGCCCCCTCATTTTTTTTTTGAAAATAACACCCTAAACATCCCAACATGCTATGCAATTTTTTTTTTAAGAAAAGCTGGGGTCAAATCAGATATCCTCCCACTTTGCCTCTCTGTGTCAAAGTCAAACTGTTCATATTGGTTGTCAAGCAGGGCTGCTTCAAATTTACTGATCAGAGGAGTCACTTTACTTAGGAATATAAGTGGGGTCATCAAATGAATATCAGACCGGTTCAGTGCCCAAGGTTGGGAAACTCTGCATTAACTATGCATCTTTATAAAAATCTCCAACACAACCCGAACCCTTTCCCACACTATCCTGTCTCCTCTCTGCCCCACCTTCTTTCTCCATGATTGTCGTCATGCCCCGCCCCAGCACTCACCTGAACCTCTGAGCCTGGTGGTGGAGGGGGCCCGGGTATCGGCGATTGGGGGACTGGTAGAGTTGTGACAGAAGGGCTTGGCTGGTCTTCTGGCTGGGGTTGTTGGCGAACTTGACCGTGATTGGCTCGGCGGCACCTGATGGCTTCTGTCCATTCAGGCCCTTGATGGCCTCCTCAGCCTCTATCCTCTTATCAAAGCGGATGAAGCCCACACCTCGGGAGCCACCTGCGGGGCCAGCAGATCACAAACAAACACAGGCCCCTTTTACTTTACAGGGTTTAGATAAAACATCAACAGCCCAAACATCTGCAGTATGTGTTTGGCACATTTTTGTGTTTTTCCAGTCTGACAGTGTTAAAAACTATTTTCCGAAGTCGTCTTCATGCTTTTGCACACTGCACTGAGCCCATTCACCCAACCCCCATGTGAAACTAAACCCAATGTGCTGCATTTACCACAAGGATTTACAGAGAGGATGGAGAACGAGAGAAGACAGAGATGAATAGTATAACAGTAACACATACACACAAACCCTCCAGCCGTAGACTGAGCATACGGGGCTGCATTGTGGCATTGGCCCTGAGTCTGTTTAACGCCACACAGTCCATTCTTCCTTCATGCTAGCTCCAGTCACAGCGAGCCATTCACACACTCTTCATCCATTGTTCTCAGTGACATTTGAGCCGTTTCCTTGGAGATATTTTTTGACTGCCACCAGAGAGGAACATTTAGAGACGTGCTTCAATGGGAGGTAGTTTATTGGTGTCTGAATGCTTTGTGTGCATTACTGACTGTACATACACTCAGGGACATTAAAAACACACTACTGTAAAGTCTCTATAATAACTGTGAAGTGAATATTTAAAAAATCTGGACATATATGTTCTGCAGTTCACACAATAATAAACAACTTATTTTCCATGATATTGTCAAGTGATTTTAGTACATAAGGTGAGCCATTACAGCCTATATTTTACCTATGGTCACACATTAATTATTGTGACAATCCTGTCTGACCATTCCCTAAAGACACATGATATTTGCAGAAAAACAGAAGCTTACAAATCAAGTTGCTCTGCGCAGGCAGTGGCAGCCACTGTTTTAAAGCAGCAAAGAAGAACTGATTTCTGGTAAATGGTGTCACATTAGCCTAGCAAAATGTCAGCAATTCGGCAATATTTACACTGGAAATTCCCACCAATAACACAGAAACTTGTACCCTATGCAGGGCTTTAATTATGAGGGGTAATACTAGTGTTTGGAGTTTAAACACCAACAAAAATAAAATAAAAACTGTACAATACTATTTTTTTTTCTTTTTAAAAAGGTATCGGATCAGTACTTGATATCTGCCGATACTTGAAAAAAAAAAGGGAAAAAGAAAATTGGTATCAAAACATCTTTGATTAAAAAAAGGCACCAAAAAAATAAAATAAAATTCACAGTTTTTCAAGACACCACAACTGACACAGGCACAGGGGGATAGAGCCATTGGCATGCTCCAGGCTGGACAAAGAAGCCGGGCAGTATCCAGAACATTCAGTGTTAACCATTTGACCGTTAAACATCTACAAGAGCTTCATGATGTCGCTAGAACTGCTGCTGACCGTCTAAGACCAGGTCGACACTGTGTTACGACTGCGGCACAAGATTGACAAATACCACTGACGCAATCCCCCAAAATCAAATTAGGCATTGCTGCTGTTGCTGCAAATGGAGGCCATACAAGATATTAACTTTTAGTGTGATCCATGTGGTCTTGATATTAAGGATGCATATTAATTGTATTTGATATTTGTTGTAGATAATTATTTCTGATATTTTGTTTTGATCTGAAACCCTCACTGAGGTGTATAAATATTGAACACATTCATTACAACTACTAAAATGATAAATAGTTTGATGCTAGTATCCAAAAACTGAGTAGTGCGTTTTTAATTTCCCTGAGTGTATATATATATGTATGTGTGTATGTGCGCACTGGTATCTATTAATGGATGTTGTGCCTTGTTTTAATGAGGCTGCCTAGATGGCCCAGAGGATGCTCGCTCAGTGACAGCAGCACTCTCCCGAAGAGACTATTTACATAATACTGTGTGTGCACACAGGCATGTCTGTGTGACTGAGACTGAATAAAAGAGAGGCAGAGAGAAAGAGGGGAATTTTGTGTTTGAGCATCATTGTGTGCAGTCTCTTTCTCACACATAAAAACCCTCCTTATTGTTATTCCACATTTTTGTACATGCCATCCCTCTCCCCATCTCTTTTTTATACTTCCTGCTGGATCGTCTCATGGCACTCCCTCCCCTGAATTCTTATTTGGAGAAGCACCTTGACCATCTCACTCCCCCTTTTGTTCTCTTTTTCTCTCCAGGACACAGGCAGCACAAGGTTATTTACTTTCCAGCCAGGCTGCGAAATAAAAAGCCACTCTTTGAAAGCCAATCATTGATGGAACATGCCTAATTTTTCCTTTGCACTCTAGTGTTGGACTAAACAATAAAAATGTAAAAATAAAAGAATGAATAAAATAAAATCTGTGAATTTGCTGATGTTATGTGAATTATTAAACAACTTTCAAATTGGATTTAAAATGTTTTAATACACAAATCTGGCTGACAGTCAAGATTTTAGAAATACAATTTGCAGCACCAACACCTTTTATTTTTTTTTAATTAGAGGGACTAAGCAGCTCATTTGCACTTTCTCTGCAATTTTCAAAATACTGGAAGCTTTTTCTTTGCTGTCAACACTGCAAAAAACTGTGTTGATCAGTGTCCTCCTGCAGCAGTAAACAACTTCTGGGTGAGTTAGGCACAAAAATGGGTAAAAACTGGAATTGATGACCATTTAGTTTGTCATTTAGATGTGTAATCAACAAGGCTCTTTCTTTGCAATACAAAGGAACAAACTGACCACACATTCACCATGCACAGACCTAAACCACAGCATCTCCCCTCCGCCTGTTGGATGATCTCATTAACTTCTATTCAGTGTAAATTATTCTGTTTTATTGGCTTTTTTTTTTCTTTTTTTACTGGCTCTCTCTCCCCTGACAAGCTTTCACAATTTTCCCTTCCTTACTTCCTCGTGTGCCAGCTCTGTACCTGTACATTTTAATTAGCTTGTCAGAGGCAGAAAAATAACAATTCTAATGGGATCTACACAGTGCAAACAATAACCATTGCTGTTCCTGTGGTTTTCTTCATTTATTACTGTAGTTGTCATGCATGTGCTGTGTGTGAGGTAAGACAGGGGTCACTGCTGTGTCTTTGGGGAGAGCTGTTATTGAGCTGCAGTCAGTAAGTGTGGCTGGTAATGGATATATGTAGCCTTATAGCTATGAGGCATTAAAGGTCCAGTGTGTGGGATTTAGGGGGATATGTTGGCAGACATGGAATATAATATAATAAATATGTTTTCTTTGGTGTATAGCCACCTGAAAATAAGAATTATTTTGTTGTCTTAAACCTTGGAATTAGCTGTTCGTGTCTAGATAGGGAGTGGGTCTGGACAGAGATCGCCATGTTGTAGTAATAATAATAATAATTATAAACGTATTCATATAGCACCTTTCATACAACAAATGCAGCACTAACTGGTTACAATAAGGGCAGTGTAAGCACTGAGTGCTTCACATAAAAATAGATATAATAGACATAAAACAGGCAAGGCTATTCGATATAAAAGGGCAATTAAAACAGTTTAAAAATGGATGAAATGATTCGTACAATCATAGAGTTGTAAAACTATAAATCATAAAATCAAGTAAGATTTTAAAAGAGTTGCAGCAGCGTGAAGCATAAAAAAGAAAGTTTCAGACCCGTATCAGGAAGTCAGAGCTAGTTAAAGGCTAAAGTCAACAGATACTTTCTTTTAAAAATATTTAGCGAGCTAGCTTCCCTGATAACTACAGGTAGTGTGTTCCATAGCTTTGGGGTGGAACTGACAAAGGCTGCATCCCTGATCTTTGTCTGGCTGTTGCTGGGAACTTCCAGTAAACCAGCAGCATATGATTGCAGTGTTCGTGGAGGTAAATAGTTAACAAGGGAGTTAGCAATGTAGCTCTGTCCCAGCCCATGTAGGGCTTTGTATACCAGTAGGAGGAGCTTAAATCAATTATAAATGTAACAGAAGTCAGTGCAGAGCAGCTCAGACTGACCTGGTGTGCTCTCTCCTCTTAGTTCTGGTTAATAGCCGAGCTGCAGAGTTTTGAATGAGCTGTACCGCCATGTTTCTACAGTAGCCCAGAATGGACAAACCAACACTTACTCTAGACAGGGCCATTTGCATTTCCGGATTTTCATGTCAGCCACTGTGGTTTGCAGCCACTCCTCAATGAAAAAGTCTGCAAACACTGTTTTTTTTAACGGCAAACTCCTTTATTCAGCGTTTATACCGGTTTAAATCACCAGGTCTGTTTGTTTTGGACAGGAGGACACCTATGCAGATAATTTGGCTCACAGTAAAAACATCCTGAATGTCTGGATCAGAAACAAGGTGAGGACATATTGAGTTATCAGAGAAAATAGGTGAGCATACATTAGCAGGTGCTGGGCGAGTGGCCCGTCTGTGATGTGCAAAGCAGTGTTAGGGAAACTGCTTCATTTAGTGCATTTACTGGTTTTAATCACCTGGTCCACTCGTTTTGGAGAGGAAGAGACCTCTGATAAGATAATTCGGCTCCCAGTAACAACCTCCTGAACAATGAACACTAAAGGATATTTAAACTGGGAGCAGTTTCAGCCGGTTGTAATCTGCAGCCCTCACAATTAGATGCCACTTAATCCCCCTAAATGTTACACACTGCTTCTTCAAACTCATCCAATGCCATGCTTCACCTTGATATTTGGAATCTGCCCAATTTCACAACACTTAACCGCTGTAAGGCACTTAGCAGCTCCAAGAGGCTTGCTCAAGGGCACCTCAGCGGTAGTTAAGGAAGAGGAGAGCGTTGCTCATTCACTTCCTCCGCTGAGACGAGAGGGGGGAAGAGACGACTGTATTCGTCCTTTAATCCTCACACTTGTTTGGCATTGAGCTGCTCCTAAGCTGGTTCTGGCTGGAGGGCCTCTGGACAAATGCTTGGCATACTGATGACGGCACGGCACAAACACACACATACATACATACATACACACGCACATACTTAAGTGATAACTTGAAGAGGTGCAATTGAGGATGAAGTGTGAAAAGAGCAGTGGAGATGTCCGTGATCATTTGCAATCCTCCGT